AGAGAGAGAGAGAGAGAGAGAGAGAGAGAGAGAGAGAGAGAGAGAGAGATAGAGAGCAGAAGCCAAGCAAGAGTGCCATAGCCAACGAGCAAGTATACACACTGCGAAAATGAATCAACGACATCCGATGACAAAAAAGCCAATAGCAAACAGCAGCATTTACATTGGCATGGACAGAGAGAGAGAGAGAGAGAAAAAGAGAAAAAGCGGCCACATTATACCCGTTCAGCTGTTCCAATGTACGAAGATCGACCTAATATATGTACGCGCGTGTAAGTCGACGCTTCGTAATAATTGTATTGTTCCGAAAAAGAATGTGTAATGTACGATATAAACGACGAATCGTTTGGCAAAATCATTCGAATCACATACACCACCGCCGTCGTCGTCGATGCTGCCGTTGTCGTCGACATCGTTGTCGAGTGGCAAGCAGATATTTGGCTCACTTGCTCTTGCCTCTCTGGCTCAAACCAACGACAGAGACAGCAATCACCAATAGCTGAAACAGAACATAACATGTATAATAATAATAATATAGATCTACGACCCATATTGTTAACACCGCACGAACTTCGAAGCTAACACGATTTTCTTTATGCTCTCCATTATTCTGTGCGTTTCGACTCTATAATAATGCTAACCGAATGAATGTTTTAAGTGTTTAGTTTCAGTAGTACAGCCGTCTGCATCGAATGCCCAACAAACCATTGTCCATGCTTTGAATCGATGTGGAAAATGTATCGGGCAAACAAGCGCAAGCCAGCAAAGCGGTTGTTGGCGAGTGAAACGAAGAGATCGAAAGGGAGTGAGAGAGGGAATGAGCTACGGATTGAGAGCGTTTGTGTTGGCAGAATGAAAATGAAAAAAAAAGAAGAAAAAAAATCAAGAAAAGAAACTAAAACGAGGAGTGAAGAACAAAAATCCGATACAAACCAATTCGTCTGCTCAATTGATTGGTATTTCACATTCAAGTACAGCAAAAGACGACACAGCAATTCTTTTCTCTGGCTGCCAGCTTTTTTCCCTACTCGGACAGATCCGAACTGCCACCGAAAAAAGACAAAGAAGAATAGCAAAAGAGAAAAACTTCGAAAACGAAGAGAAAAAAAGAAGTGAAACGGTACTTTAGCCATTTCGATTTCATGGTTTTTTTGTTGTTGTTTTTTCCTTCTCTCTCTCTCTCTCTCTCTCTCTCTCTCTCTCTCTCTCTCTCTCTGAACCGCTGTCTCTCCGTCTTTCGCTTCTCAATGGGTCTGGTGTGTGCGTTAGCATTTTGCCCATTTGCACGACATTCACAAATCTATTCAGATAAAGCTCGCAAATTCGTTTGTGCTGCTCACTGATGCTCGTTGTGCTACTGTTGCTGTCCAGTTCATTCGAATCACCAGAACCCATAGTTGGCACGATTGATGTGTACTCGATTGTGGATCGAGACCCGATACAAAAACTGTTAATCTCGAGCATTTCAATGCCCTGCACTCGTTTCACGTATTAGTCTCTATTTGCAGCACAAATAAAATGTGCTAACTTGAAATTATGTCTTATTTATATCACTGCCTGTTCTGATGTATTTCTGTCGAGTGATTTTCACGTTAATTCACGACACATACCAAGGCGGACAGAGGAATAAAGGGACGGAGAGAGAGAGACAGATAGAAAGCAAGAGGAAAAACGCGCAAGGGATCTGAGTGGAAATGGAAACGACATAAAAAAGAGTCAGATGAATTCAAACACCCAGAACGTCAATCGTATTGACCACTTGCCCGATACGAAAATCGTGTCAAACTGCAGGAACAATGTAAAGACATTAAGCAGTGAAAATAAATGCACACACAAAACGCATCGATAATTTTATTGAACGAAGCAGGACAGGAGAGAGAGAGAGAGAGAGAGAGAGAGCGGGCATAGCGAATCAATTTATATATGGTTTCGAAATCGGAGGGATGAGATGGAACGGAATACAAAAAGACTTATTGAAATGTTGGCAGAGAGAAATTCATTCGATGATTTGACGATGAAGATCCACTCTTCTTGACAATTGAAGCTCCGTTTCGTTTCGTTTTTAGTGCACGTTTCGATGACAAAGAGCAATCCATATATTTTGTGCTTGCGATGCATGACGATAATGATAATGCGTTGGCGTTAAAATGGCAGAATGAATCGGTGGATGGCGGAGTAAAACAATTTGATTAATAGAAACTGTAGAAAAGGTAAGGCCAAAATGTGTGTGTGTGTCACACACACACACTGTGTGTGTGAGTGGGAGAAAGACAGTGAACGAGGACGCGAGAGCAAGAGAGAATGTGGAAAAAATAATATTATGATGATCTATTAAAAAAAATAAACACAATAATTTTGATCTAATCTGGCTTCATCTGG